CCGGCTTCCCGCGGGGATGAATGCTGTGTTTCCTAGTCCTGGTACCGCTCTGTTCGGGGGACCTGCCCCGAACCTTAAGGCACTTCTCGGCTCTGCGTGTGGGAAAAACGCGTTCAAGTTTGGCGCGGGGGGAGCGCAGAGGAACTCTCTCTGCACTCTCGTAATTGTGCCTTAGTAACCATTAGTAACCAAGTGATGCACTATCGCTTAACTCACACTGGGCTCCATCTCACCTGCTAACCGGTGTTTTTATTGCTTTCCAAGATTTTCTGCACGTCCAGCAAATTCCAGTTTTCAAATCATGGAGGGAGAACAGATTATGGAGGGACAGCCACAGGTATTGCAATATTTTATGTGTATAATGCTACGTGAATAAAAGGAGCATTTTCTCTTTGCTGACCATCTGTTATTTTACAGGTTCCAGAAAATCCGCATTCCGAATACGGTCTCACTGAAAATGTAGAGGTAACAAAGCTGTTGTTGTAAAGTACAGTGGAAGTCACATTCCTGATCAAGGATAAAAACATTCAGTCTTGAGTCTCACTTCAGCAATTGTAATGTTCCCAAGAAAGTTAGCTGGAAATCAAGCCAATGGATACCTGTCCCTTGCATAAATGGCTGTATATATTTTCTTTTATATTGCTTCCGTTGTACTAAATGGTTCTGAAGTAAATAATGCACCTTTTAATGAGATGGTGGGTTTGTTTAAGTATCTTATGATCATTATCTATTCTGTCGCTATCTATGATATATATACATTTGTATAATCTATTATGCCGCAAAAAAAGCCATCTGGACTTTTATTACAGGGAGGGGAATAGAAGGAGTTTATGGTATTTCTGTGGAAGTATCAAAGGGAATGATTCTTTTCATATTCTTGTCAATAGAAAAATTGCATCAGAATAATCCAAGCTATCTTAAATTACTTATGCTGAGAAGGAGCAGATACAGTCCATTCTCTTGCTGTTGGTAACAGTGTGGATTAGAGTAATAGAATCACAGGGTATTCTGAGGTGGAAGAAACCCACAAGAGTCATCAAAGTCTAGCTCCTGATACCGCACAGGACAGCCCCAAGAATCACATCATATGCCGGAGGGCATTGTCAAAACACTTCTTGGACTTTGTCAGGTTTGAGGCTGTGACCACTTCCCTGGGGAGCCTGATTCATTGCTCAGCCACTTGCTGGGTGAAAAGTCTTTTCCTAAAATCCAGTCTAACCCTTCCATATCACAGCTTCGTGCCATTCACCAGAGAGGACATTGGTGTCTGCCCCTCTGCTTTGCCATGTGAGGAAGTTGTAGACTGCAATGAGGTCTCCCCTCAGTCTCTTCCAGACTGAACAGACCAAGTGACCTCCTTATATGCTCTTCCTCCTCCAAGCTGCTCCTCATATGTCTTCCCCTCTAGACTCTTCACCATCTTAGTAGCCCTCCTTTGGATGCTCTCTAATAGCTTTTGTGTGCCCAAAACTGCACACAATATTACAGGTGAGGCTGCACCAGCACAGAGTAGAGCAGGACAGTCCCATCCTACCTCTATGGCATTATTCCTTCAAAAGCCTTCAGTCTCCCTCCATTATGAGGTCCTACTCTGTGTTAAGCTTTTGCAGAAACTATTCTTAAACATCTTTCATGACTTGTCTCCCCAGATATGTTGGTCCTGTATCAGTAGATTCATGTACTTTGCGTCAAATACATTTGGTTTCCTGGCAGTGGTAGGGTATCATTTTTTAACTACAGTTAATGGTGTAAGATGATTTTTGACTAAAAAGCACATGGAAGCATTTTCTTTAGTGTGTCCATCAGTACTTGAATAGAGCATGGTCCCAAAGTATTCAACTTTAGCAGAGTCCCCTTTGTCAGGGTTCACCTGAATTTCTTGTGCTTTTAGCATTTTGTATAAGAAGCACATGCATACAGGAACCATGTAATTGAAACTGCTCTTGTTAGTAGTCATTTGTGTCTTAGTGGTGTAGAATTCAAATCTGTGAATGCAAAAGCAGAAACAATAATTATACAGATTGGATGTCTTCTGTTTTAGAAAACTGTCGACTTCCTAACATTGTTTCCCCAAGACATAAGAATTTAACAGAAGGCTCCTCTGGGTTAGGTTTTTGTGCAAGGAAAAATATGCACTTAAATTTTCTTAGAAGATGTAAAGAAGTTATTGCCAGTGAATTGCATAGAGATGGGTATTTTGTACTTCCAAAGTAGATGTGGCTGCTATTATCAATGTGGATTCACTTTTTCTTTTGTACTTCAGAGGATAGTAGAAAATGAGAAACTAAATGCGGAGAAAACATCAAAGCAGAAGGTTGATCTTCAGTCGTTACCCACACGTGCCTACTTGGATCAGACAGTTGTACCTATCTTGCTACAGGGACTTGCTGTTCTTGCAAAAGAGAGGTAAGATGCTTCAGTGTTCCTTCTGTTCTTGGCAAAATGTAGGTCTCAAACTTGGGCAGTACGTCACCTTTCAGGCACATGGTTCTGGTAGTTGCACACGTTGTTCTGGTAGTTGTAAGAACGTCGTTACAACAGGTTTATGAACCTATAAATTACTGTGATTGGCTGTGCAGGATGTGTTCCCCAGTGAGGTGCTTATCATGTTTATTGGGTGCATATGGCATGATAAGAGTTATTCATTTAATTCATGATCCCCCAATGAGGTGTGCTACTGCAAAAGTTTTGGAGGGAAACATGGGGTTATTTTTGTTACTAATTTTATCACGTAATTCACCTTATAAAAGTAAGGCAAGAAGTTGTTCTAGTTCTGAAGATTTTTGTAGTGTGAAATTATAAAGAGTTCTTGCCGTTTGAAAGAAAGCAAGACAAATCAGGCCTGACATGCGTCTTTGTTGGAGATTAAAATGCTTTCCAAGAAGTCAGGCTGACCCTGCACTGTCAACACAGCAAGAAGCAAACTGATAGTTTATCCTCTGAGTGAAGATTATGCTGTCGAGGTGCCCCAAATCTCTTACCAGTCAATGCAGAAGGGTATCCTTCAATAACAGCAAACAGCTGTTCATCTTAGCCAAAATAATTTTGAGCTTTTTAGTGTATCCTTGCTAGTGGCAAGTAGAACTGCATGTGACCATCACTCAATTTCACTGAAATAACAAAATCAAAAGCTGGTATGGATGACCATAAAGGCATCATGGCACCTACAGTCAGAACAACCATCAGCAGTGTCTTAAGTTCAAAAGGAGTTGTGAATTTGAACTGCAGGGTACAGACAGCTAATTAGGCAAAATCAGGCACCTAGGAAGGTCCACCCTGTGTGTACACCTGAGCAGTGTGCAGATCTTCAGCTGACATCTGTGGGAGTTCTGCTGCACACAGTATAAAACACCTGTGAGGTGCATACCCCACACTTACACTCTGGATACTTGTGTTACAGGCTACCTTTTTCCTTTATTCTTTTTTTTTTTTTTCACTTATTTAAATCTTCATTATGGAAGAAGCTTTTTTTATGGGGACTCATCACGTGAGTGAAACTGGACCATTGATAGAAGAGGTTGGGGAATGCGTAGGTATAAAATCCAACAGTATCAAAGTGGCAGGTCAAATTGGCTGTTCAGTGGAGCATAATAACCCCTCGGGAGGGAGAAAACTGAGCTATCAGCTCTGCTGTATAATCTTCTGATTAAAATCAAAGTGGAAAGTAACTAATGGATGCCAAGTTCTTTTTCTAAGGAATATAAAAATATTCAGGGAACAGCCCATTCCGTCTGTTGGCTACGCCTGGAATTCAGTAGAAATTATGCAGGATAGTGAGCCAGTAATTGGGAGGAGTCAGCACAATTTTTTGTCGGGTGTTGTAAGTGTCTTAGAGTTTATTGAAGGAGTCACCAAGCACATGTAAAGAGGAATGCAGATGATACAGCCTGTTTAAATTTCCAAACAGTTTCTCACACAGCCATTCACTAAAAGCTTTTAAAGAGAGTTAGTTGCTGTGGGATTAAAGGAAAAGTCTTTATAAGGATGTAGAACTTAGTGGACAAAATAGAGGGTAGAAGTAAATAGTGAATTTTCATGGTGAAATAAGATCAACACTAGAATCATGGAAAGTATAATTTATAACAATTTGAAGAAGAGGCTGATAAAATTTGTTAATGAGACTGAGTTTTACAGGCCAGGTATAGGTGTTTTGGTTTCTGTTGTTTGTTTGGTTTTTTTAAGTTGATGAATTGCAAGTAATTGCACAGGAATTTCATAAAACCCTCAAGACTGCTATGAAAAATTGAAACTATGGCAAAAAGCAAAAGATTGAATCCAAATAACAGAAAATTTTAGACCTAGGAGGGTAGTGACAAATGCTAGTGACAAAATGTTAGATTCTGAGTTGACAATTACCCGTATGAAAACATATCTTTAAGCTCTTACATATATATGTCAATGCATTACTCTAGTAAAAAATAAATTCTGAATAGTAGTACTTAGAAATTGAAGGGGTAAAAACCAAGCATTATGTCATTATTTGAATTTATAATGTTCTTGTATTTTTAATATTATGTGTAATTCCAACTCTCCTGTATTCTGGTAGATTGTGAAAAAATAAGAAGAGTGACAAGGTGGTCAGAAGGAATACTGTCTGTCTACAGAGTGACTTGAATAGATGATATCTAGAAAAGAGACTTCTCTGGGAGAATATATTAGGAATCTGTTAAATCACAACAGTGTAGAGATGATGAGTTGGGATGGACTATTATCTCTTTTGATACAATAATGAAATAAAGTGAAACAGGTAGCAAATTTATAATGAACAAAAGGAGCTGATCCTTCACAGGTCACATAATTAAGCTACATAATTTTTTTTGCCTTAGGTTGAGGACATTAAGGTTTTATTTGTGCTCAAGAGGCAACTGGTCAAAGCTGTAGAGGAATCCACCCAGACTGTTAAGGGTGGTAGCTCAGAAATTGGTACATGCTTGGGAGCCAAAAGGGTGATTCAGAAAAATATCTCTGTGCATTTCTTCGATTTTTTTTTTTTTTTATGCTTCTTTATAGGTGTATTTGCTCACTGCCAGACCTTTTGTCTGACCCAATGTGGAAAAATTAAGTTTGTCATTTATTCTGTGGACAAAATCCAGATTAGCAGGATTCATGCACTGTAGCTGGAGGAGCTTTTTTTTTTTAAAAAAAAAATTACAAACTAAGGCCAGTGATCAGAAGTGTTTATTATTGACTACTTGCAAGTTACAGCACTTCTCAAACTTAAAGTTTTGTTGTGTTCATTTCAGTTGCCAGAAACCATGAAAACAACTTTAATCCACAAAGCTACACAATAACCACTTGAAGAAAATGAAGCAAAAAAGCACTGACAGATTCAGTTTTACTTTATATAGCATGAGTCAAAGAAATAGGCAAATGCATGTCACATCTAATCGTGTACATACCGTATTTATACTTACAGACTATACCCTTGGTTTAGATATATAACCATAGCAATTTAGTAATATTGAACCAACAGAGACTAAGACCCCTTTTTAAAAACTTTCTCATTAGACATAAACTGGAAATTCAGAGTCACTCTAGGTAGTCAGTCATCCCTAAATCAATGCTTGTAAGTGTTTGGGAGGAGTTATGTTTCTTTTAAGGGATGGTGATTAGTTCTTCAGCTACCTTATTTCATATAACAAAAAATAATTGCTTTTGATTTACTTTTTTTTCTTTACAGACCGCCAAATCCCATTGAATTTCTAGCAGCATATCTTTTAAAAAACAAGTCACAATTTGAAGACCGAAATTAGCTCCATAAAAATGAGGACAGTTTGGCTGCTAGACTGAAATGCTCATTTGCCGCTGTTTGTTTTCTGCTGTAAAAATCCTTTGGCCACATTGTTGTCTTTCTTAACTGCACAGTTTGCTTTACCTTTTGAGTTATTTAATAAAGAACACTTTACATTTAATTTGTTCTCTTGTTTTAAACTAGGTATTAAGAGACTTTCAAAATAAACTACTGAAACTGCACTGCTGGATGAAAGTCTGAATAATTGCATGGGGCTACATCACCTGAGGGCATGGAAAAATGGGGAACAATTTGTGATGAGAATCACATGGGTGAAAATGTATATAACTTAACTGGGTTTTTATGTAGCATCGTGCCACACACAACATGCCTAAACAGAAAGCAAACAAATGAAGAACAATTAGAATTTCTTTTGAGGAAGTATTGATTCAGTAGGGAGGAGAGGACTTACTTCAGAACACCAGGAAATGGGTTTAGTTAAAACAAACAATTAGATCCAGCAGCTGAATAGATCACCTACAGACAGTGGCCAGCATTTCACATATTTGCATTAGTGAGATGTGCTGCTCAGCATTTGTCATTGATCTCCTGTGACTGGTGTGCTGGATTTAGCTGAAACACAGAATAAAGTTTGAAGTAACTTATAAAGGTTCTGTAATTGAGTTCTCTGTGCCGCTACTCCCAGCTGGAGTGATTTTTCTCTGTCAAAGATGGAATCATCAAGTTGGGATGGACCCATAAGGATCATCAAGTCTAACTCCCTCCTGCTCACAGGACCATCTAAATCATATGATTAAGAGCATCATCCAGATGCTCCTTGTATTCTCACAGGCTTGGTGCTGTGACCACTTCACCGGGGAGCCTGTTCCAGTAACCAACCATCCTCTGGCTGAAGAGTCTGGATGCCTTTTTCTGATGTCCAGGGTAATCCTAATCTAAGTGGTAAAATACCAAGTAATCTGATTTATTTTTTCCCCTTGGATTTACTAATGTCTTTTGGTTTTGTTTGGTCTTCTCAAATGTTTTCATAACCTCTTTTTCTGACCCTTTGTTTATTTTTCCTGTAATCCCAGTAGAGCTAAAGGCCACAAACCTTAGGATACAATATAATAAGTTGCAGCAGAAGACAGGATCAGAAGAAAAAGATAGAATTAAGACAGAAAACACTATTTTGTCAAAGCTCTGAAAATAAGATTATGACTGTAGAATTGACTCATTAGGTTATTGACAGCCCTCCCAATTCCCATTTTTGTTTTTTGACACTTCTAACAGGGACCATACATAATGCTGTTCACTAGCACTGGATACTGGAATCCAGATTATGCATAGCCCTGTTTTTCACAGACTGGAAGAATAAACATTTTTTTGACAGTCACAGAAATGGCAAACTTGGCCTCTGAGAGTAGTTAAATTAATCAAAATCCTAAATTTTTACTAAAATATTTCTAATATTGCCATCTTACCATTATCATTTCCATTCAGTGTTTCTTAGCTAATTGCTTTAATATAGCAAGCAGTTAAAACCTTTAAATTAAAGTCTTTGCTGCAAGGGTTGGTTTTTCTCCATGTGCTATGAAAGGCTGCATATTTTTTTGTAATTATGCATAAATTCACATGAGAGAGACTTGGTTCTCTCATTTGACTTGTTCCTGTAACAGTTTGTAGACACACACTGTATTTGCAGTATAAGAAGAATTATTTTCCTTAGTTCTCTGACATGTAGTTGACTTTCCTATGGTAATCTGAAGATTTTTTTTTTTAACAGAGCTTTTCTTCTTTTATACCTTAGATACATGGGTGTAAGAGTGGCCAGAAGAAAGATTCTTCAGAGGAAAAAAATTAACTTTTCAATTGTCTACAAACTTGCAGGGACTGAGGTCTCTTCATTACTCCTAATAGGAAGGCTCTCACTATTTTACGTATATATTAGTATGCTAACAGGGAAACATTGAATTAGTGCAGTCTAAAAGCAGTAAAATTGGGGAACAAGTAAAAGCTGAAAGAGGTCTGTAAACCCAAAATCGAGCCTAAAAAGCTTTATTTTGGAAAATGTACCAAAATCATGGAATGAGATTACTAATTCTATTGCATTGTGGTGAACACAGTCTCCATCAAACCATGACACTTTAAAAGATACTGAAAGGATTTTAACAAGTGGTTTGACTTTCTGGAATGAGTAATAACATTTAAGTGAAGACAAGGAGACACCATAAAGACTTGGTACTGCTATTTTTATTGCTAAAGTGGCATTCCAAGCTTTCATAAATAACAACTTCGCAAGACTGTTAAAGAATTGTTAAAAGCAGGGGGAATCTATGCTGCTCCCCAGTTTCTATGTTGAGAATTTGTGCAGGACCATACAAAAAGAAGCAGTTCCACTATTGATCCTCCCTCAATAGAGCAATTTTCTTATATCATCATACCTTAATTCAGAATACAAAGAAATCGGACTTCTCACTTTACCGTAACACTTGTCAAGCAGCTGCACAAAATTTGAAATACTCTGTCTTTCTACACAACTCTTGCATCAGCCTAGAATCTCAAAGCATCAGTACCAGTCCTAAGGCAAGCTGTCCCTGCCAGCAGCATGCCATCTACTCAGCTGCTGGTATCACTGGTACATCATGTCATCTGCTGTTGTTTTAAATCTAGAGATTTAATTCAAAAGAATGAAAAAGCCATGTTCACAAGGGGATGATGTTAGAAGATTTTACTACAGCAGCTTTTCTGGGCAGCCTTCTCTGAGAAAATAAGTTTAAATGTTACTGGCAGCAGTGAACTCACCAGTCCTAAGAATTAAATCTTCCTGCAAAGGTATGACAAGTCAACAAGAAAAGTGCAACCATTTTCCTTTATTTGTTAAACTGGCTTCATCAGTTGAGATCTGCTGCATAGGGAATACTTTATAACAGGAACAAGTACTAAGTTACTATCTGAATAAGCAGATCATACCTGAATAGTCCAGTTCTCAGTTACAAAAGTAATGATAAAGTCCAAATTTTCAAAGCATTTACTTCTTTTAAATGTTCCCCACTAGAAACCAATGAAAATTCTGTGAAGAGACTTGACAGATGCTTGCTATCCCGATTGAATCCAGAAACAAGGAAGTACTATTTTTCCACAGGAAACAGCAGCTCTGAAGGCTTCAAGATAAATGTATTTAACTTGGGAGTAAAAATAGATGTAGAGAAAAAGCTTAAAGAAATATTTGAAAATGGCAACTTCAGATGTATGACAGGCCACTGCTAAGTAGCTGAAAGCCATTATCTCTTGGTTTTTGAACAATTTTTTTTTTATTTCTCCACACTACCCTAGGTGAGTCAGTAGATGCTCTAAATAGCAGTAAAATTGAGCAGAAAATAAAATGGAATGCCTGGTTTATACCACAGCATACCATGCAAGATGACTATTTTAGATCTCTGATATCCAGAAGTTACTATTTAGTAACTGTGAAAGAATTATATATGAGTCATATGGAGTATTTTGAAATCTGCCTTTTTAACTGCTTCTACCGAGAACATTTATCTCTTACCTTGAAGGGAACAGTGACAGAAGAAAGAATTTCCCACTAAAAGCAATTCTGATCAAAGGATTCTACATCCTCATATTCTGAAGCCTTTTACCACCTAAAAATACAGTTTGACTTGCCAAATCTTTTTTTTTTTTCATCTCCAATTTATCAAGGACTTTCTCCAAAGTCAGTACATGTCTTTGAGCTATCCATTTTATTGAAGTGTTGTCACTATTGTAAATGCAGTCTGATCAAAAGAACTTCTCTCTCCCCAGCAGACTTTCTGGAAATAAAACAGCTGCTTTCAAACAAATGAAAAATCTGAAAAATTCTGAGAGATACAAGCAGTTGAAACCAGTAGGCTGGAAAGGAAATATGAGAAGAATCCCTATGCCTACCACGCTTGAGAGAGTACAGGTTTTGATATATTCTTATCATTGTACTAATTACATAACAAATTATTCTTAGCCGAGCCTTAGCTTGTGTTTCCTATTCTATTTCATAGTCAGGATTCATTTTAAGAGTGACTACATAGCCTAGATCACAGAAGTACAGAATGCCAGCTGTTACAGAAACAGGCATTTTACCATGATGAAAAGACAATCAGCACCATTTCTGCTCATGTTCCTCATTCAAATACAGTTTTAAGTGAGGACTTCAAATGTAAATGTGCCATGAATAATTATGGGGCAGTTTACATCAGTGCTAGTGCAACAGTGCAACACTGACTAGGAATGTGTCATGTTCCTATTCCCAATGTGCTTTTAGCTCTCTTCAAAGTTTGCTTTGGAATTGTGCGTAAGACTCATTTTCCGAGACAAGCCTAAATTTATAAAAGGCTGCTGGGTGGTTGAGAAGTATTTACAAGATGAATAATTACCCACTGATATTATCTCAGGTGCTATTACATTATATTGGAAGTGGAAATATTTCCCCTGTAAGGACAATGAAGTTTGGGGGGGCCGGTGTCTGTTTTTAACAGCAGAAGGAAGGACTGCTTGGAACAGCAGGTTCCTCAGATGCAAAATGACAGTTTGTAAAGAGAAAAACCTAAAGTAACAGTGAACAGCTTCCTGAGAAGGGGGGGGGGATAGGAAGTGGGCATTGTGAAAAGCATGACAGGAAAGAATGCAAAATAAACCACGTGCAAGAGGACAATGGGAGCAAAAACCGAGAGCAACAGACCTTGAAAGCTGGGCCAGCTGAAAACATGTGTCATCCAAGATGGGCACAGGGGGTTACTTGAGGAAAACCTTGCATGCTAAGGACACGCTAACTGGTGAGTCACTCTTGCCACCCTTTGCCTTCATGCTTTTCTTCCAGGTAAGGAACAAACTGCCAACAAACACACACATGTAGCAGTGATCTGTACTTCAAGGTTATGCAGACGTGGGGGACTGTCCATGAATTGTGTCAGCTCTGCCCTGCACATCAGAGAAAAATGACAGAGCTAACAGCTCTGAACAGGTAAGTGCTCTTGTTACTGCTCCCCATACAAAGTGTTTGGAAGAATTATGGACGAAGCAGGAGAATCTCCCAACCTAACCCATGATTCACGGCATTGCACTGAAAGCTCAGCCTAGTTTCTCAGTCTGTGGCTAGAACCCTTCCATACCTCCACATCCCGAGCACTAGGAAGCCCAGCACTGCCATCTTCTACTTAACTTACAGAGTCACAGAATAACCTGAGTTGGAAGGGACCTACCTACTCCTGGACCCACACAGGACCATCCCCAAGAATCACATCATGTGCCTGAGAGCATTGTCCAAATGCTTCTTGAAGAGCTGACTGCTTGTCTGTTTCTGCCTCTTTCATTTACATTATCTGCTACTGAGGGAACACATCATCAGCCCTGAAACACAGAAACAGTTCATGACTGGGAGGTGATTGTTAGAAATTTAAACAGATAAACCCATAAATCACTAAACACTGCTCAATGGTATTATGTCCACCAGTGATAGGGTACAAATTAAAATCCTATTTTCACCCTTGCCGGTGGAAACAGCAGAAATTCCTACTGCAGTGCTATGGATGACAAGCTTTCTCAGGAACATGCAGAAACTGAGGAGGATGTCCTCCAGCTTCCCTGGGCTCTTATTGAGAGTGCTAGTCAGTAACAGAGAAGGACAGGGATTCCCCAGGCTGCCATGGTGTTTGTGGCACATACAACTACTTAAGGATTAGCAAAAAAAAAGCCTGTGCTTTCTGTAACCTGCTAACACCGAGCTGTAGTGTTCCTCTGCATCTACATGGATGCTATGTTCATGTTCCATCCAGTAAAAACTTCATCCTAATCTACACCTAATCTAGGAGAGAAAAAACTACACACAAGGGAAAAAAAGTTAATGAGGAAAGGGAGAAGGAAGCTTAAAAAGGAAGCACAAGGAGAAAAGGAATCAAGCCTGTTATACAGCAACAAGAAAAGAAATATATTTAAGAAATTTTAAAAGGCAAGCTGAAGAAGAAAAAACCACTATATAAAGGTAGGAAACCCAGAAGAAAATACTTATAAAGAATTTTTACTTATTAAACCATCTAGATTACCACTCAGAAGTTCTTATTTTTTAATCTCGTTGGAGTGAAAATGCTCAGAGAAAATGAAAGGCCTTCTTCTAAATAAAAGAAAGGAATACCAGATAATTAAAAATAATTTTAACCTCCACTTCCCCTAAGATGTTCCTCCTAGCAGCCTCCTCAAACTGTTTTTGGTGGACTGTGGGACAGTGGTGCATCAAAAACTTGAATACATCCTGGCATGACCCATTTTTTAAGTACATGATCACAACATTTATTTTTCTCCATGGAGTGAAATTTATCCTCTGCTGCATTTAGTTAACTTTATTGAAGGATTAGTTTATTGAAGGATCAGTTCAGGAACTACTCTCAGTACTGAAGTTTATGTAAAAGGTTTGAGAAGTATAAATGGGTATCAGAACTGCCAATATAGTTTTTTGTTAAAACAGTCAGGTAGGATAGTTCTTCCAGTCTAGGCAGCAGTTATAATCCGCATTAACCTTTTTCAAAATACTATTTGTAAAATAACAATGGAATACTGTGAGGATAGATGGAGCAGTGAAAACATTAGACATTCGCTCAGATAGTTAGGCCCCATTTCCTCATGACAACCTATTACAAACATTGTTAATTGGACACTCCAGTCCTTAGTGCCCCTCAGCTGCCTTGGGGGGCAGCTTGGGAGTGTAGAGGAGGATCCTCATCGATAAAAAAAAGTCAGCCATTATGTCTGAAGCAGGAGCCTTTTTTTATCTTCAAGACATACTGCAAACAATGCCTTTGTCCCTAGTTTCCTTTGTTTTACTGTAAAAAAAAAAAAACCAAACCCAAGTAAACAAAAAACAAAACAAACAAACAAAAAAAACAAAACAAAAGAAACTCTCTATATTTTGCATCCATTTATAACTGCCTGGAGGACTTTTTGAAGAATTCCACGACAAAGAGGCAGGCGAAGGATGTCCTTCCTGACCTGGCCCATACAGTTCCACCCCACAAAGCACCACTCTGCCTCCAGACCTTGATGGCTGCGGCCCCTCATCCCTCCCGTTGGGGCTCCTCTCCCTCCTGCTCGCATCTCACACATCAGCGGCTAAAATCGCTTTTTCCCTCCCCGCTTTAGTACTGGCCACACTCCCCTTTCCAGTTCTGCCTCGTTAGCTTTTTCTGGCCACGCCTGATGTCTCCATGGCAGCGGTCCATTCACCAAACCAATTAAAAAAAATAAAATTAAAGGGGTGAGGAAGTACGAGGCTGAGAAGGACACGAGACTTCCATACGGCTGCACTCCCGCGGCCCTCGCTCCATGCCACGGCGCCACGGGCGTCATGGCACGGGCAAGGAGGCGTCGGGAAGGATTCTGATTCAGAAATAGGGAGCCTCAGCCCAGCAAACGCCCTGTTCCCTCTGGGGACAGCGATGCCTTTGGGAAACGATGCTCTGTCCCTGCAGCCCTCAGCGCCCCAACTGCTCCCACGGCCCGTGCGGGGCCCGGGGAAGCGGCGGAGGCGCGAGATCCCGGGATAACCCAGCGGGCCTGGCCGGGTATCCCCCCGGCCCCCCCGCGCTCCCCTCGCCTGACCCGCGCCCGGAATCTGCCCGCCACCACGGAGACACGGCCCGCCAATCAGCGCGCACGCTCCCATCGCCACGGCAAGCGCGCCGCAATCCACGGCCGGCTCTCCGCCTGGCCCCGCCCCCTGCCCCGCTCCCGCGGGGCGGTGCCGGGCTCGTCAGGCGGTGGGCGGGGCCGGCGCGGTGCGGGCGCCAATGGCAGCGAGGTTTTGCTTTGGTGCCCAATGGGGCGCGGGCGCGGCCGCGGCCCTTAGTCCACGGGAGCCGAGCGGGGCCAAACCCAGCTGCGGCCGCGGCGCTCCTTCTCTGCGCGCCCCCCCCACCCGCCGGCGCGAGTTGGCGGCGCGGCCTCGGGCTCTGTCCCCGCGTCCCCCCCGCCGGGACCCCCCCGCGGCCGCGCCGGCCCCGCGCCCCGGCCCGCGCCGCTCAGGCAGCGCCGCCTCCGCCCGCGGGGCCCGGGCCGTGCCGGGGGAGGAGGGGGAGCAGCGCCGCCGCGCCGCCGCCGCCGCTGCGCCGGCGGGCGGGCCCGTCCCCCAAGCGTTCCCCGCCGAACACCATAGGCGGCTCCGGCTCCAAGATGTCACACCGGGTGCTCTGGCCGGGAGGCCAGCCACGCCGGCAGCTGGTACACGGCCTCAGGTACCGCCACCGGGCGCGGGGAGGGCGGGGCGGGGCGGCGGGCGCTGAATCAGCACTTTGGGGCCGCCGGGGCCGGCCGGTACCGGGCGTGGGGAGGGGCCGCCGGCTCCGCCCCCGCCGGCACAATGGCGGGCGGGGGGGCCGGGCGCGGTTACCGGCTGGGAGCGGGCGGAGCCGCGGTGCCCCCGAGCAGCACCCCCGTGCCCCCCTGCCGGCCGCCCTTCCCGGCGGAGAACGGGCGTTTGGTGTGGCCAGGGCTGGGTCGCCTCCCCCCGGTGGCTCCTCGTGTGGCCTGCCCTGCCCGGCAGCCGCGGCTCGCCGCAGCCCCGTGTGTGAGGTGGCGGTGCCGGAGCCCAGCCCTTGTGCTGTGCCTCGCACCGGGTGTTGCGCTCCGTTGGTGTCGGAGCACACGGACGGATCTCAGTGTTTTCATGTGCTCTTATGGGGGTTTTTGGATTTTTTTTTTTCCCCGTGGGGAAATACCGCGCGTCTGGGGTGTTTCGCACGGTTAGAAGGCAGGTGAAGAGGTGCGAAAGCAGAGAATTTTTGTTTCGCTTCTTGTAGTCCAAGACGACCTTCTGTCTTTCTTCCCGAGCTCTTTCTCTGTCAGTAGGGAAAAGTTATTAAGCAGTATTGCAGAGTGGGCTCTGTCCATTTAAACGTGTGGTACTTGGAGGAGAATGGAAGAAAGACGCGGTGCTTTGGAGGGAGAGCTACCGCTCCCCTCAGCGTCCCCCCCAAAAAAAAGGCAGGAACCTGTGATAATGGTTTGGTAGCTCGTATGTTTGGAAATAAGTTTTGTTGGGTTTTGGGGCAGAACTGCAGTTGTGGAAAGGATGCACGTCTGTCTTTTCAGAGCCGTTTGTAAGGAGATTTGTAAGGGATGTTCTTTTACTGGCCCCGGGAATAAAGATGATTACAAAACTGCAGGTGAACGAGCCTAGATGAACAGGAGGCTGTCGTAATGAGCAGTTCAGAGGGGCACAAAAAAACCCAATAAAGCATGGCATTCAGGATCCTAAAATGACATTTAAGAAGAATTAGATGTGAGAAGTCATACACTTTTCTTGGCTAGATATAATAGATGCAGTTTCCCCTCTCCTCCACAAATGGATGAACGAGGTATGAGGCAAAAACTGAAAGAGAAGAAAAGAAATACAGGGAGGAGGGTAACACAGGAAGAGGTGAATTGTGAGATAAATAGCTGGGCTTCAAATGGTGGCTAGGCAGTTTCGAGACAATAGAGGATGATTGTTTTCCTTCTGAACTTAATATTCCAAACGTAATTGTTGTGTCCATTACAAAACTGGTCTCAAATCTTCGTGCAGCATTGACAGCTTGCAATTACATTTTTCCCCAATGGTCTAGAAAGGTAGGTGGTACTCTCTTTACAGAAAACAAAAAAAAAAACATGTCAGAAGTTTAAAGACATGCAAGGACACCAAAACATCGAAGCTTTGTGGTAACACTAGCTTGTTTCTGCTATTTATGTTTTCATTTATGCAGAAAACTTATTTGCAATATGGAATGGCTACATGACCTTACACATAAATTTTGAAGTTTGTTTGATGTTGGACTTCATGCCAAGTTATTGATGGATACTTTCAAATAAGAATTTTTTTTTTTTTTTAAATAATTAAAGGGGCATGGATACTGTGTTGGACTGTTTTGTTAGATTTTGTTAGATTATACCCTGGTAAGTCTGTGTGACTATTTTGGCCAGTACTAGTTGTTTGTGATAGGACATCCAAAAGCATGTTTCTCCCATTGCTTTTGGGAGAAAAGCAATGGCCTTTTCCTTACTGAGGAGATGTGGGATGGTTGCCCAGACACACTGCATGAAAAAAACCAACAAACTGAATCATGTTGTAATAAATTATGACAACTGTACTTATGAGTTAAATTGTAACTCTTGCAATGTTTGTGGTGTGGGTAAGTGGTTGATGTTGCATAAGCTAGAGTTTTGGGAAATGTGTTTTTCCTTAAACAAGAAAAGAATATTATGTGTCTTGCTATAGAACTGTCTTCTGCTGTTTACATGGCTATGTGAGAGCAGGAATTCTGTCTGTTCAGCAAGACAAGGACTACTCATTATTGTTGCTTGAAAGCTAATTTTTATGTGCCATTTAGGAGGGTACATCAAAACTCAAGAGAAAACAAATGGGGACCAAGAGGGTGTGTGCTCATCATAGACTTAAAATCTTCCTGTATTTTAGGCCAAACTCACATGTCAGCTGCTATGTCAAAATTGTAACACAGTCTCCTCGATTGTACTACTTGAAGAAAGTGGATTTTACCATGTGCTTTCAGGGTGCATAGCTTCAAGGATGGAGCTGAGGCAGGGATTAGTTTGAATTGTGATAGTTCTTCACTGCATTCCCATGATTCTCTGGGGATTGTCTTTTCAAGTCCTCCTACCTCCTCCTTTCTTTGTGCTTACTGTCTCGGCCCAGAAGTGATTTGCTGTGTTATATATAAACTGGTTAGCATTTAAGCTTCCTGTTTCCTCAAAACTGCTCTCTTTCTGCAGAGCTGAGTTTGATTGCACAGGGCAAGCAGATGCCCTGGCTACCCTTATCCTGCTTCATAGTTAAGATGACCCCATCTAAAAGGGTATTGAGAAACATGATTTTTGAAGGATATTCAAAGTTATTACATCATTACAGTTTAAAGGGGCTGTGTGAGGATGAGGTTTTTAAGTGGCAGTTTATCCTGACATACCTGGTACCTGAGCCATCCCAGGTTGGGTAGGGGATTGAAAAGTGAAGCACCAATTGCTATGCTGAAAAAAAAAAAGTCTGAGATCTGGCTGCAGAAGTCAGCCCTGGGAATGAAGGGCCGAAGCCGGCTGTTGGGGGAAGAAAAATGATGGATGCAGAATCCAAACCAGCTTTTGTGACCAGAGGATATCCTTGAACTGGATTAGTTGGCTCCTGTGCAGTCCAGGAGTGGAAGCAGTATCAGAGGTGAAACCACAACCAAGACCGAACTACTACTCTTCATGGATGGTCAATGTAATGTAGGTAAGAGGGTTTAGAAGAAATACTGCTTCTTGTCTTCAAAGGCTGCTCATTTCTATGGGACAGGAATTGCTTCAGTTGAAATTAGACTCTCGCTCCCCAACTTTATCCAGCTATGGGATATGCCTTGCTTAGGTTCTGCCTTGGAAAACATAAATATGCACTACATTCTAATACAAATACACCACCTACTTGTATGATGATAATTAACACTGTAGAGCAGGTAAGACTGGCTGTGCAATTATGCACATCCAGGCATGTTCACATGTTAGAATGTTACATCTAAGTAAACAACTTTGTTGTCATTAGATAGAAAGGTGGGTCCAGGGAGGAAAGCTCACTGCTACCTACCCAAGGGAGCTGAGAAGGTGGCAAGGAGTAGAAGATGGAATTCACAGTGGTGTTAGCATTTAACTGCCCATGTGTTCTTCATTCATAGTGTGCTGTTGTAACCAAAAAAAAAAATTAAAAAGCAAGTTCCTTAAGAAGTTTCTGCAGGTGAGTTCAGGATGAAGAATTTAACCAAAATTATTGTCTTCCGTTCTCCTTTAGAATTCTTCGTGTGGGGAAGTTCATTTTCATTCCACATCAGTCCATGCAGCATTTTAATGAACTTAAGACGTGTACCTCAGGAGCATTTGCCTGACAACAAACTTAACAATGAAGTCTGCTCAGTTGTTCTTCCTCCTGTTTAGCACTGAGTATGAGAAGCTTTACAACTGAGCTTCCTAACTGAAATAGTGACATGCCTGTTGCTGATAGTAGGCCACTGGTTTAGACAACCTCATTTGTGATTTGCGTCAGTATGTCTGCTTTTAAAAAAAGTTGAAAATGGATTGTGACATATCATTGCTTTTGTGGACTATCAGCCTGGTGCATGGTGGCCACTGAAAACACTTGTAAAAATGAGATAAAAGCATACCAAGTAAATGAAAACGTCACCCCGTTGCACTGCTGTCATGTAGATTGTTGAGAAAATTAAAAAGAAAATCACACTGTTGTGTAGTGAAAAATATTACATGCAGATTTATTTTTGGAAGAAAGTCCCACTCCTGCTGCGTTAATTCAACCACCTAGTGTCCAGACCTCTTGAGAAATTGATTTTGACCAGCAGGGAGAAGAGGAAGATTAAGGACAACTTGAAACAAAAATGGCATAATTTTCCAGGGCTTTGAATGCAGGATAGATATGTTCCTAGATACAAAAAGAGCAGCTGAACTATGATGAGAATAACATGCTATCCTGAGCATGGACTATTTGCAGGACAGGGTGTGGATGCTCTATCCTGATTTACTCTTCAATGTGAGTAGATTCAGTGAGTGCTGGGCAGTTCTGTGGGGAATCAATCCATACACTCCTACAATGGAAATAAACATTAGCTATGTGCATCTTTTTTCCCTGTTTAGCATGCCATTACAAGTGAGATGTCACACATTAAAGTGCTTAACTTGGCTCATTGGCTGGCGGCTGGCAGCTGGCGTGCCTCGCCTGGCTCCTGGAAGTGCTAACTGAATACTGTACTGCTCTTTATGAAAGCGTGTGATAAGAGTTTTTGTCTCAACTTTTCCCCAGTCAGTGCTATTATACGGCACTGATACGGGCAAAACACAAAGATTTCTAGTAGGCTCTTCCATGTCACAGGAGTAAAATCAAATTCAGGGGATGTGTATGAATAACAGTACTACATGATCTGAAACTTGCCCTACAAAACAAGTTTGTTGTTGTTTTAGTTATGGCTTATTTCTCTGTTTTCCCTGACCAAACTATAGTGGCCAGAGATGTACTCTGTTAGCCCATGCCAAGTTGTTTGAACTAGGAGAACCTTAATTTCCATAAGCTTATTAGTGCAAATGTGAGTTGGCAGAGTAATTACTGTGTCGACTTGAAACACCATTGTGCTTCTTGTCTTCAAAGCTTTTTCTTTTTTTTTTAATGAGGAGTCAAGTAAATGGTCAGTAGATGTTTGAAAAGACTTTAAAC